GAAAATGCTACGGTCCCGTTATGGAACTATTCCGTCGGGGTTTGTAACTGTTAGATCATAATGTAACCGTCATAGATAGTTGATATAACGGTTACATACCCCGGCAAAATGGCTCCGTAATGACCGTAGCATCTCCCCAACTTTTAGTCATAGCGAACCCTTTTCCTCAATTTACATAGTTATTTTACAATAAAAATGATTATTACCTTAAATATTTCGCAATATGGAGTTGCTATCTAACTGAACGTTTGAATTTAAAAAAATTGCAGACTCCTTCATATCCATCAAGTTTGAAGACAATGGTGTTGTCTCATGGGATAAAGCGAGCAAAATGCCCAAAATACCCCACTGGCAGCAAAGTGAGATGTTGAGCAAGAGCAATGGGAACGAGGCCAAGAAGGTCAAGAGCGGTGTGGAACACGAAAAGCCACGGGCGGTGCTGAGGTGGTGGAGGCGGATTGGGCACATTTTCCAGCTCATCAGATTAAGAAAACCCACTAAAGGCAATGTGTGCCATGTGAGCACAAAGCCTACAAGGAACTAAGGTCAATTGGTATTGATATGTTGAGCCAAATTAAAGTGTCAAAGGTGTTGAATGGAAAGAGAAGTTTGTGGCTTTATCTATACTAATATTGTGTGCATGTAGGAGTTGGGGGGGCTAAGTGTAAAGAAAAGTGATATAATAAATAACGGTTTTGACACGTGTCCTGCGATAAATGCACATTGGACATGCGTCAGTACATATTAGACAATCCTAATGGTTAGACAATCGTAATTTTTTAGACAATTGTAATTTTTCAAAAGATATGCATATTTTTTAACTGAAATATCATACTCCAAAAAAGAACATAAACAAAAGTATGATACTTCAATTCATAGCGTAAATATGTTTGTTTATTAAAAAGTATGACGAGTCGATTCGCAAAACTGTTAGACTTACCCAGCTACTTTGTCAATCCACCAAATGAAACATTGCACAACAAAGAAAAAGTGATGTAACAAATATGGGTGGATTTTTTTTATTTATTTATTTGTAATTTCTATTTTATCTACACTATAGAAGAAAAATTGTGGTGGTTTTTGTAACAAATTAATCCCATTTATTTAAGAGGGCATGCATAAAAATAGAGCTTGTGAGCAGTGAGTGATGGTGCCTATACAATATATACAGTCTGGATTTTGGAGTTTATCCTTTGTCATCTACATAATGTTTATATACTGTAAAAACCACAAAACAATCAATAGCCATGTGCAATTGTAATGATTTATAAGTGGGATATTAATGACTTCAAGCTTTTAGGTGATGCCTCATGGAAACATAAGATGGCACAATGGGCACACACTTTCAACAAGATTTTGTCATCTTGTTGTTTTCTTAATGAAAAAATAACAATAAAAAAAAAATGAGCTTCTTTTCCAAAAGATCCAGTTGAAAAATGGAAATAAAACATGCCATTGACCTTAAAGAATAAAATGTAGAGCACCTTTATCTTTTTTTTTTTTTTTTTTT